CCAGGTGGTGGTGGGGGTGCAGCAGCACCACTGGTATATCTATCTGCCTCCTGGCTGGCTGGAAGTGCAGCTGCAGGGAAGGCATCTTATGGTTACAGCACTGCTCGAGGATGGAAACTGTCTCAGCTCAGTTCCTCGCCATGCTTGCTCACCAACTGGTGTGCCAGACCATCGCAGCCTCACTTGCTTCATTAATGGGCCCAATTAGCTTCAGGACTCTCTCTTTCCTGCTGTGTGGCAGCTGCTTCAGTTCTGGGCATGGAGGACCACCACACGCTTTGGCAACAGAAGAGCGCATTGCAAATCGTGACGGCAGTTCCCAAACGAAATGCTGACCCCTCCCAATCCCGTGCTGGGCTGAGGAGTTGTGCCGCAGTGTTTGGGTGAAGTCTGGCAGCAGGGAGCAGCCCAGTTAAGCTTGGGGCACCTGCCCTAAGTGTGGGGTTATTCCTGTGATGTTGGATGTCTGTATTTCACTGCCAGGAGAAGAAGCTGAGGCACGATGAGACGGGAGCCTGCCCTGCAGGGCCAGGGCATGCTGCCTGGTTCCCAGTGAGCACGAGGCTCCCTCCCCACCTGCAAGGCCAGCAGCACTCGTGCTGTGTAGGACATGCACGCTGGGGGCTTATCTGCACGGCCCTGTAGCCCGGGGGAAGCACAGCAGCCTGCTCTCTATTTATGCAATACCCCAGCAGCTACCGAGCATCACCTGCCTGCATGCACGTGCCTGGAAAGCTTGGCGAGGCGTGGGAAAGTCTGCAAGATACCATCTCTCCCCCGCGGCCCAGCCTGTCCTGCACCGGCAGCGTGGCGAGCGCTGCACTTGGCCCTTGGCAGACCCCCCTCCCTGTCCCGCTCCATCCTCCTCCTCCCCTGGCCGCTCTGGTCTGCGCTGGAGCCCGTGGTTGCACCCCACCATGAGCCCGTAGGCTCCGGGGAGCACGCTGCCCAGCTGGGGTGCAGGCAGGCGGGCAGGTGCCCACCGCCTCTGTTGGAGGGGGATGCCAGGCTGCCCGTGCTGCTTGCCCTGTTACCACATGGGGAGATGCTGGGCCCTGCCTGATGGGAGAGGGTAAAACTCTGCAGAGAGCAGCTCTGCTTCGGGGCTGGCTTTTGTGCCCAGCAGCTGGAACTGGAACTGATGCAGGTCTCCGGTTGGGGAGAGTAACGGGAAAAGGTGCTGGCAAAAGTTGATATGACAAGACCAAAATAATTCATGGGAATGTATTGATTTTGTCAGCGTATGAAAACATCCCAGGCTTCCTCTTCTCAGATAGCAATGGAGCTTGTTGTGTCGCAGCAGCCGAAGTGACACAGTCAAAGCGAAACATTTCAAACCGGCATTTCAGTATTTTCCAAAACAAAAAGTACTTCAGAGGCTCTGTAACTATGCTAAACGTCGAAGTTTCGACTCTTTGCTCTGAACCGGGACAAAGGAAACGCTGAACCGTCAGGATTTTCCACAAACGGAAAGGCTGAGTGGCACCCGGGCCCCACGGGCCATCGATGGGGGCAGGCAGGGTGCCACGGCCCCCAGCCCCGCCGGCCATCATCCAGGTCTCACCGGCAGTGGCTGCAGATGGCTGCC